AACTGAGGAAGATCCTAAATTAGCTTGGAATCTCTTAAGCTAACCAAGCCCTCTTAGACAGAATACCCGACAGACGACTAGCCTTCACGCGGATAGACTGCTAAGACGATTCACACAGATCTCCACTACAAAGCAGTGAATTGACTAACTCTCATATAATAAATTCACTACTACAAATTGAAGAAGCTCTAACAACCTAATCAGATTCTATCTATCTTAGGTTGCAGCGGAAATCAAGAAAAGTTGATCAGGCTTCAATTGACTCAATGAATCATGCATCAATCGATTATAATCAAACAGTATATCATATAAAAGTCATTACAATCAATATCCCTAACACATGGATATAGGTTTCTTCATACGCAAGTGAGAGAGAGTTCTACTCCATAGAGAGAGAGAGTGAGAGGAAAACATAATACAAAGCAGTCGTACTCATAATAATGGGAGGAATCTTCTTTGGGATGATAATCTTCACTCCATGGATGAAATCCAAGCTTGATTGATGAAACCGAGCTCCAAAATCACCTCTAGAGTTTGTTCTTCGCGCTTTCTCGCTCTAGGACTTTGTTTTTGCTCTGGAAATTCGTCTCCCCTCTCTTTGGCTTGAAACAGCCTGCTTATCCCGATACTGGGCAAAACACGCTCGAGGACACGACCGTTTTTAACTTTGTCCACCCGTGTTTTCGCCTCGTGTGTGGAATACACGCTCGCGGCGAGTAAAACACGGGTTTGCCCACGGAGTGACATAGTCGTGTTTCAGAGCAGCTGTGCCTGTGTTTTAGACTCCTCAGCAGCAGTCTCAAACATGCTCTCGGCACAAAAAGCACGGTTGGGGACAAGACCGTGTTTTGGAAATGGTGCCTGTGTTTGCTCCTTGCACCGATTCAGCTCGCGCACTAAAAAGCACTGGCGTGCCCCTTAGTGAACACGACCGTGTTCTAGAGTAATCTGCCCGTGTTCTTGCCCCAGCTTCACCGAATGACTTCCAAACACCCCAAAACTCGTGCATAGCCCTTCCTTCGACGTCTGGGACCTGAAATGTGAGAAAATAGCACAACCCAGCGCAAAATAGGCCAAAGATACACGACTACGAGCCGCAAATGGATAAGAAATAAGGGTGTAAACATGTGAAAATACATCGTTATCATATGCATTTGTGTGCTTGGAGCCTAGTCCACTATTTAAATTAAAATTTGAGGGCTCCAAGCAGGTATTCTCCATTTGCATGAACATATTGACACTGGTGTGTTCTTTGTGATATCTGATGACAGTTTGTGTTGATGCATGAATGACTTGCTGGTGACTAAAATGACCATAATGATGACTACAATTCGCAGTAGGATTGTGTAGAGGTTCAATCTTGCTTCTGTTTTGAACCAACTCATGACATGGATCGTTTACTCGCAGTAGGATTGTGTAGAGGTAGCCATGTGAACCAATTCGCAGTAGGATTGTGTAGAGGTAGCCATGTGAGATTTGAGCTTGCTCATTTTTTTTCTTGTGCGATAGATCTCTCTTTCATGATGTGTAGCATTCACGTTGCCACTAATTAGGATGATGGCGGCATAGGCTTACCCCATGACCAAATTGATTGTCTTGATTTGTCATACCCCCTAGTCAGCTCCTTTGAGTTGTATCACGCTTTAGTTTGTGAACAGTAGATAGACTCTTCCTGTGCATAATTTTGCTGCGATCGGTTGTCATCTACATTGTCATTGAGGTTGTTGTTGCTGTTGTTCATGTGTTGGTACTGTTGAGATCGATGTGTTTTGTGCCATATGTCGTGTCCCCAACAATGTTTTGAATGGAATTCTGATAAGCTGCCTTTTATCTGACTTGGTTTGCTTGGAGACAAGCAAACGGTTTTGGCCCTAACTCGCGAATCTCCAGCAAATAAAATGGGAGCACGGGCTGTAACACCCTACCCTATACGTATTACCTAATCATATTGTTCATACAATTGCAGCGGAAATAATCTCGGGTGTTACATTAATTATCAAAATTTACCTAAATAAAATTTCGACATGAATTACTCGCGTAATGGGCTAACAGTTCTTGCAACTTATCCTGCAAAATAATTCATCACAAACATATATACTCACAACCATGAGCATTGGCTTTCATAGCCAAAGTCACAGTTTCATACTACACAACTGCATACTATACTGATACAAGCCATAATCGTCACAACTTACATAATTACAAAAATATACACATAACATCAACTTTCCACACCTGTGGATATCTCACACTACATCAGAAGCTAGTATGCACATGAAAAACGTTCTCAAAACATTTTTACAAAAAGGTGTGGATCACTGGCCAAAATCCCGAGTAGTAGTCCAAGCACAGAATAGTTGAAGACCATACCTCATCCTGGCTTCAACTCTAGCTCCTCTCCCACCTAACACTTATCTACTGCTGCTGCTGATGATCTGCTTACACATAGCATAAGCAGAGAAGAAGAATAAAAGAGGGTCAGCTCATAGCTGAGTGAGATAATCATAGCATCGTGAGTTCATAACAGAGCATACCCCTATCATACATCTAACAATCAAACCAAAACACTAGGATCGGACCTCAGCCATCCTCATATCCCAATAGGCAAAAGACTCAACCACCTTGACTTATGCATATGCATCTTATCATGTTTTAATCATAGGCGCCTGGCTACTCCCATGCTAATAACTCTCCCGGGAAACATACCCCACATCCCGTCGGATGTAGTCATACATACCCCAACATCCCGTCGGATGTGGTCACACATACCCCACACCACTATGGGTGTAGTCATACCCCGACACCGCTCTGGGTGTGGTCATATCTCATAAGAATTCTTCAGTCACCACCACATGAGAGGTGTGACTATCATACATATCATAATAGAGTAATAGCATAGAGAGCCCTAATTACTATGTAGTTGATCGTGAGACCACAACACTCATATTTTGTATCCTTATACATGATTCATATCTCATCTTGCTTAATCATAATTCATTACTTGCACATGTACTTGACCTGACCATAATTGGCTCAACATAGGTAAATCAGGAGTCGTATAATTGCACTTCCTCGGGATAAACCCTCGTGCAAGTCATCCTCCTTAAACATCATAATATCACCCTGGGAAGTTTATTCCCCCACTTATGGATCCAAATACAACCATAATATCACACCATGTCAAAAACCCTTATCGAACAACCATAAACTCATATCAACAGTTAAGCCACAAATGGCAACATGTAGGCAATCATCCACATAAACAAGGTTCATATCGATTAGGGCAAGTCAATAATATCATACAGTAGTCCAAGGTTCATCATATAGCACAAAAGTCCATACACCCCTAATCATGCCATTCTAGTTCACCTAGGTCAATTCTAAGCATCAATATAATTATCGTGATACGACAAACCCGGTATGCGGTGCTAATCCCTCACCAGTTCTGGTCGTTCAAACACCGGTTCTAGCCTCCCGTACTAAAACGTCAATTTCCCGAACGAACCCCGAATTAAAATCCGAGACCGTCCTAATATCCCCTGCAGTATCCCCGTCAATATTAGTTCTAGGCTCCGGGTCAAATTCTCGATAAAAACACATCAAACCCTGGCCGGAGCTAAATTCAGCGGTTTGGACCCCGGCCTAAATAATAGCCGAAATTCAGGGATTAGAACTAGAGGATTGATTACCTCGCTGCAGGAAGCTCGTATATGAAATTTGGGCTCAATCCGGCTTCCGGATACTCCGAAACCCTAATTTGGCTGATCGGGAATTCAAGAAATTCCTGAACCAAAAACTCGTTTTAAAGCTCTAAATCGATAAAACACGATGTATAGATGAATTAGGCATTACTTACGGGATTTTTGGATCACTAGGGCTCAAGATTTTGAGCTTTGGAATTTTGGGTCGAGAGCTCCGCGCGTGCTCTGTTTCTCTCGTTTCTCTCGGTCCGTACAGAAAGAAGAAATGGCATGAGAATGGAAATGGACAGTGAAATTTATATCCCGACCGCTTATATATATATATATATATATATATATATATATATATATATATATATATATATATATATAATTAATACGTATACTTATCCGATCGATCGATAATTCGATTTTCGCCGAAATAGTGTCGAAATGCTCGATTTTAAATCGCGAACTTTCTAACGATCGAAATATGGGTTTTAGCCGAAATGGGATGTTACACGGGCAAATTGCAAAGTATTCGGATCTTTGAGTTCTAAAAAGCAGGAAGAGAATCCTAGAGATAAAAAGTGATGAAGAACAACCCTTGGGCAAGGATTGGAGCGATCTGAAGACCTCAAAATTCGGTTCCTCACTCTCGGAGTACTGATTAGCCGCTTGGAGGAGATTTTCATTGTTTGCATGATGATTTCTACCCCTAAAATGATGTTTCATCTTCTCGCCATGGAGTAAACTTCTTTTTCATCTGGGTATGAAGAACCCTGGTTTTGTATGTTAGGAATGGTTGTATGAACCCCGTTTGTGAATGATTTATTTGATATGAAGAACCTTAGTTTTGTATGAACCCCTACTGCCACATCAGCAGCTTTTTCCATTTCACTACATATCACTTTCATTTCCTCTACATCCATGAAATCCACTATCTATTTCATATGGTGGGTCCAACTTACTTTTTAATACATCTATACATTTATATATAACATATATAATTTTACCAATTTAAGACATATCAAATAATTAAAATAATATATTGTAATTATTTAATTATCAATGATGAAATAGATTTACTAATTCATTAAATAATATATTATAGCTTTATTCATTGATTAAAAAAATAAATTATGTAATTAAAAATGGGTAGACTTTAATAAAAATACATGTAACTTTTATTAAAGTCACAAGTACAATATTCAAATGACAAATTACAACACAATCACAATTCAAATAAACACACGTACATAACACAATTACTATTGCAAATAAACACATTTAATACATATACATAGAAATGATGCTAGATTAATCATCGTACTCCTCGTCTCCGAATCCATTCCATATCTCTTCTATCGTATCAGATTGAAGTTGATTATTTGTTGACCTATTACGAATCCTTGTGTGGTTCCGAAGATACTCATCATACTCCGGGAGATGATTTTGAGAAACTGTAGGCATCGAGACTTCAAAGTTCACGTCCTCGTCTGTGTAATAAAACTGACGAATATATGTATCTCGTTCATCTTCAACAATCATGTTGTTCATAATTATACATGCTCTCATAATCTCAGCGATTATGTCCTTACACCACATGCGTGTTGGTCCACCAATGATAGCAAAACGTGCTTGGAACACCCCAATGCTCTCTCGACATCTTTTCTAGCCGCCTCTTACTTCATCGCAAACAACTTGTGTTTTGATCCTTGGGGTAGTGGAATTTACTTGACGAAAGTGGCCCAATTGGGATAAATACCATCAGTTAGGTAATACCCCAAATTGTAGTTTCTTCCATTAACGGAAAATCGAACCTTTGGTGCTTTCCCTTCTAACACATCATGGAAGATAGGGGACCTATCTAACACATTTATGTCATCAAGGTACCTGGGACACCAAAGAAAGCATGCCATATTCACAAATCTTGTGAAGCAACAACTTCAAGAATAATGGTTGGATTTTTATGGTCCCCCCTAGCATATTGCCCACGCCATGCAATAGAACAATTTTTCCATTCCCAGTGCATGCAATCAATACTTCCCAGCATACATGGGAAACCTCTTTGCTCTCCCACATGGAGAAAGTGTTCGACATCAGCAGCATTGGGACTCCTTAGGTACTCTTCACCAAACACAACATTGAAAGCTCTTACAAATTTCTTAACACATAATGCTGTAGTGGACTCACCAATTCGCAGGTATTCATCAACAGCATCTGCAGCCACACCATAAGCTAGTATTCTAATTGTTGTTGTGCACTTTTGAAGAGGTGAGAGACTTGATTTGCCTGTGGTATCATGATTGCTTTGGAAGAATGGCTCTTGATTCATGACACCTTCAACTATGCGAAGAAATAAGCTTCTTCTCATGCGAAATCTTCGTCGAAACTTGTCTTCTGGGAATCTTGGATTCTCAGCAAAGTAATCATTGTATAGTTGTTGGTGTCCAGCTTCACGGACCCTTTCAATGTACCTTCTTGGCTTCCTTCTACGTCTAGATGAGCTTGCTTCATCTGCTAGTTTTTGTTGTTGCAATTGCACATATTGATCCACAAATTCAGATAGTGAATCATCAAGAACCATTGAACAACATTTTCATCAGAAAAAGGGCTATTGGGATCAGAATCTGAAGGAGATGAGGACGATGAAGAGGAAGAAGAGGAAGAAAAGTTTATCTCTATATTATCCATGTTGTGAGGATTATGGTCGAGATATCAATGTGTAGTTATAGAAGATGAGGTGGGTAAAGATGATATGAGATAAGAAGATAAGGAAGGTAAGGTGGAGCTTTCTATTGGTCGGGTAGGATTTTTCTCTGCAAAGTGACAAAAAAGGGTGTGCGGTGTTGGTTTAAAGTAGAGATGATATGAGATAAGAAGATGAGGAAGGTAAGATGGAGCTTTTCTATTGGTCGAGTAGGATTTTTCTCTGCAAAGTGACAGATAGGGGTGTGTGGTGTTGGTTTAAAATAGAGATGATGTGAGATAAGAAGATGAGGTAGGTAAGATGGAGCTTTTCTATTGGTTGACCTAAATTTTTTTAGATAAGCCTGTGATTTAATAAATAGGCAAGTCATCTAGATAATTTTCATTCCTCCACCAAAGCTACCTTCTTGCCTTTTCTCTTATGGATCCATCTTGCCTCCCTTTCAACTCGTACTTCAATTTCTCACCTAATTCTTCCAATTATGTGCCTACTGATTATGCACAAAATTCACAACATTCTGCCAATCCATTCCCAAATCCTCACATGAACCATCCCTTCTTTTCAAATACGGGTAATTTCTCAATGCCCATGTATCCAAACCCTAACTTTGCATATTTCCAACAAAACTATCCATCAACCGAATTCTTTCCAAGCCAATATCCAGCCACTCCAACTATTCCTACCGAACAAGATTCTCCAATTCCTGGGTATTATAGTCAAGAAAGGTCCACACAAGTTGAACCAAGTAGCGGCGGAGGAAAAGTTCGTTGGAAAGAAACTGACGACATTATGTTGTGTAGCTCATGGCTCAAAAAATGTTATATGAGAAGAAAGTCAAAGAGTTATTGGGCAATCAGTGATTTTATTTTATGGTTTGAATAATTTATGTAGTACGTGTATTTGTTTGTGTGAAAGTTTAGACTTTAAAGTGTGTATCAGTTAATTTCTATGTAATGACTTTTTATTAAGTATTGTTGATTTGCTATGTAATTTGTATTTGGATGTAGTTGAGACATCTTTATATCTATATAAGCCTGCGTGAACTTTTTTTTCGGTATAACACTTTCAAAATTTACAAAATTAATTGATCATAAGTTTAATGAATTTACTTAATCTAATAAGTTTGCTTAACTTAAATTATAACTACCAACACAAATATAATTTCTCCCAACCCACACAAAACAACTCACACAAAAGGGAATGGAATAAAAATAGAAAGCACATAAAGTGGAGTGGGACCCAATCGGTACCCACTATCCATTCCATTTGCTCTTCCATTAAATGCAAGCTGTCATTATATGGAAGAGGGGTTGCAACCATGAAATAGGCAGCACGCATGCCACGTCAGAATGGAAGAAGGAAATGACAGGCGCTCCGGTTGCTCTTATTTTCTTGGTTAGTTTATGTCAGTGGAGGTTAGTCGCCCGTCAGGTATTCGAACTAAGAGGGTCTGGATTACTTTAGTCGAGGTTCCAGAATGGTAAAGAACTTCCCGAATGTATATATATTAATCGAAGTAAATTAGGATCATATAATCTGAACTAGCTACATACTAGGGGGAATCATACCTAGATGACCTTTAGCATACTTGAAAACATGAACATTTCCTGCTTTAAGTTTAATTTGCATTTGAACAACCCACTACACTTAGTTTGCTAGATAATAGAAGTTTACGGAGTAGGAAATAGATCTGGACCGCAGGTTGATAAATTAAACTTACCCACTATTCTTCATTTCCATTCTACGATTACACTTGGTCGTAGTTTGGTGTTGTGTTTTAGTGAGTCACCCATGAAATGGTGAACAAGTATAACAGGAATAATTTGTCTAAAAAATGTGCGCTTAAAATTGATATCATGAAAACTTTTGACAGTGTACATTGGGGATTTTTATATGTTGTGATGCAAGAAGTGGGATTCCCTAAGATGTTTGTAAGATGGATTGGAACATGTGGAAAGTTTCACCTCTTTGTATGCTTCGATGAGGGATTGATTGAGAATTTTAAGGTAAAAAGGGGGTTAAGGCGGGGGATCCACTTTCCCATACCTCTTTGCAATTGCAATGGAGGTTTTATCATGTAGGTTGAATAGAGCTGATTAGTTGAAGGTACTCTTATCACCCGCAATTTCATAGAGTGGGACTCACTCAACTATTTTTTTTCCAGATGACTTGATGATTTTTATTTAAGTGACAAAAGAAAGGGTTATAGCTGTGACTGAAATACTAAGATTTATGGTTTGAACTTTGAAGTGTAATCCAGTCAAGAGTTAATTGTATTGTGTTGGGGTGAATGTAGAACTAAGGAAGGAACTTATAGCTATATCTGGTTTTCACAAAGGAAAGTTGCAAGCTAGGTAGGTGTTCCTCTAATTGCAAGGAAGCTTGGTACTGCTGACTGCAATGCATTGCTGGATAACATCATAAGTAGGATACTGGGGTTGAAGCGTAGACTACAGACATATGCAAGGCCATTCATGAAATTGAGAAAAGATGCTCAGATTTCTTATAGGATTCACGGGTGCTAAATAAAAAAGCAAAGGTTGCATGACAAATGGTTACTCTTGGGATTTATGGATTTGAGAAGCTGGAATAATGCTTGCATTATAAGGCATTTCTTGGTAGTATTGTCTAATCTGGAAACTATGTGGATTGCTTAGTTAAAGAGTTGTTGAGGAATATTTTTATTTAGGAAACCCAAGTATCTGGTTCCTAGGCAGGAAATCGAATTTCACAGATGAGAATGTTGGTAGCTAATCATTTCTATGTAATGGCACACGAGCATCTGTGTAAGGAAACATTAATGAATAATTACAAAGTAAAAATTGTTTTGGAACACCTAAGACTGCAAAGAGGTAAATTCTTGGAGCATAACTTCTTTGGGACAATTTCATATTCCAAAGAATTCCTTTCTTTCCTGGCTGGTTTCATTGGGAAGGATTGACACACTTGAATAAATCAAAAAGCGCCAGTCTAAAGTGGACACGGTTGTCCACTGTGTCTTAACCTCCCTGAAAACTGAGATCCCATTTTCTTCCAGTGTCATTACGTTCAAAGTTGTATGCAAGTACTCCTCTATGCACACTGGGGGCTATAAGCCAATTGGTAGTCGAAATGAAGGATTTGATTAAGTTGTGAGAGTGTTTGGAGGCTGCAAGATTGGCCGACTAATATGGAATTTGGTGGTTAGCGAGCTCTGGAGAGAGAGGTGTAGAAGGATCCATAAGAAGCAGAATTTGACCTGTGGAGAATTGATTAGGAAGATAAAGCAAGTGCTAGAGTACAAGAAGTATGGATGCCCTAAATTTGGAGCTACTATTCTAATTTTAATGTAGTGAAAGTGATAAGGGAGCTATTGTAGCATAAGAGCTTTGCTAACTTATGCTACCGATGACTTTCTTTTGCTCACAGCCATGAGCCATTTCTTCCTCAGGCCATCACGGTAGTAAATAATGGAATTTGGATAATCAAGCTTCAACAAATGCCAACCCGGTTTAGTCTGTTGGTCTGATCAACTTAGTGGGTTGAAGATTAATGGTCCAATCTCTTTGGTCCGATTTTGTCTGAATATATGAAAAAGACATATATTGTTCACACATTTATAAATTGTATTAATGTAATAACATATAACATTACACCAAAATAACATTTTATACTTGGATCCAACGTATAGTGAAAAATTCAAACACACTCATATAAAATCAACATTCAAATGTTTAACTTAGAATTCCAAAGATAGGATATCGCAAAGGAAAGGTAAAAAATGTCGCAATTTGCAAAGCAAAAGAAAAAAAGATTTCTTGTAACTTCCAACCCGGCAACCTAGGTGCGGGTCGACTTGCAGATATATGTCGTCCCATTTCTTTAACTCTCTCTAATCTCATTCATAATAGCCTCTTTTTTCCCTTTCTTTTGTTTTTCTTATCGTTTCACAACCTCTCTTTGGATTCATGTTAATTTGGAGATTTATTATGGAATTCTAACTATCGTATTTTACAATATTTGTTGATCTGTGGTGGAATTAGTGTTTGGATTTAATCATTGTGTGCCACAAGGTCTTCTTCCTCGATTCAGATTTTTTTTTTTTTATGAATTAGACTCTTTCCATTTCATCAAAGAAAATGGGTGCTGGAAACATCCTTCCCAGCTAGGCATCCCTATAATCAGCGCAAAAGAGCAAATAGAAACCTCATACAAATCAACTATAACTAACTATAGCACCGCAGGTAAAACTATCCAATCACAAAGAAGTAGCATTGCCAAAGTTCCAGAATTTTGCAGCTTCCTCTTCCTGCAACTGCACCAGAATTTCACTTCTGTTTACCTTCTGCAAACTTCGACACTTCTATTTGTCCCTTCAAAGACTCTAATGCATCTTTCTCTCCATACATTACTAATCATGGAATGCCACACAATTCTCCCATGTCCTGCATCCATCCCTTTCTTCCCAAAGTTTCGAGTTGCCCACTGCAACCCATCATCCCAGTCCCTTGGTAATAATCCAGAACCCCCCCCCCCCCCAAACAGTTCATGAAAAAGCTTCCTAAAAACTCACACTACGAGAATAAGTGATCTCTGCTTTCTGGCTAATGATAACAAAGACAACATAAATTTGAACCTGCAAATCCCCATTTCTTCATTTATCCTTAATCTGAATCCTATCCTTA